TTGGATATGCTTTCTCAGTAATAAGATGCAGAGATTGCCAGCCTAGCAACTATGAAGAAAGCTTCATCTCATTGATTTGTATTATATAGAGTTCACTTAACAGCTGGATCTGAATCTTCAGAGCACTGTGTTAACCCATCGCCAACTTATTTGAACGTCACTTAAGAAAAATACAGAAGGAGTTTGATGTACTATCTATAAAATATGCATCACAATCTATCCAGTAAATGCGTAAGTACTTCTATGATGGGCTCAGAGACTGGCTAAGCTGAGGAAATATGACAAGACTGGGACTGAGCCCACCATCTTGTCTGACTTTAGGATGGCAGACTTTTAACAACTTTGAACTTTGGGGATGCTCCTGGATCCATCTTTGTGCCTGGTAGCTCAGGCAGCTTTAGTGCCTTTTACCAGCTATGGCTGTAACACCAACAATGATTGTTCCTGTACAGGGATAGTCTGGCCACAGTGATTCATGCTTTGGTAACCTCAGAACCTGATCACTGCAATGTGCTCTGCGGGCTTATCTACGCTTACCTTTCCTCCACTCTTTCCAGGTATGGTCCACACATTAAAGCTCTGTGTCTGAGTGTCCTCTTTTTTTCTCCCTCCAGAGGTTTCCCTGCAAAATTCTGGTTTTAAAAGCTCAATTGAGCAAATAGCAATAAGCAGCACCCCCGAACTGATGTTTGCTCTGAGTGGGTTTCTGCGGGGAAAGTTCTGGCGCAGACATTTTAAAAACCCACCTGGACACAGAGCGTTTAAACATGGACTCATACCTGGAAAGACCAGGACCACTGGCGGAGGAACGGGCATGCGGAGGGAGCGGACCGCCCCCAGCACCACTATTCTGGTAGGGTGCCATCGCAGCAGGGGGGGGCAGACATGCACCATGCAACTCCCATGCGCCAGGTGCCATGCCCCCACACACGGCGTGTCACGCCCCCAGAACACACACCACGACCCTGCGGCCGGTGCGGCATGCCCTCGCGGGTGGCGTACCACACCCCTGGGATGTGCACCACCCCCTCGTGGCGGCGTGCCACGCCCCCAGGGGTACATACTATGCCGCCAGGGGGGCGCCAGCCATGCCCCCGCCTGCTCTCTGCCCCCAGTAGCAGAGTATGCAGTTTTGCCACTGACCAGGACAAAACATGAATGTGGATAAGCCCAGTGTCAGGCTACCCTTGGACCTAGTTTGGAGGCTTCTGCTAGTGTAAAACACTGCAGCTAGATTGTGGATGGGAACAGACTACCTCCAACACATAACTCAAGTGCTCAAAAGCTTACAGTGGCTGCCCATACACTAACTGACCATGTTAAAGGTCCTTTTACACAGCCCTTAACAACTCAGGTCCAGAATACCCCCAGGGAGCACCTGATATTCCTGCCCTATCACTGAGATCCTGGGGTCTTTGGGAGCCATGCATTCAGTATTGTGGGCCCAGTCTTATGGACTTCTCTTCCAGTTGAGGTCAGATAGGCCCCCTCATCGTTGAACTTCCAGCACCTACTGAAGACCTTTTTTAATTTCACCAAGCTTTTTAATTCCACTTTTATTTTAGTTTAAATGCATTTTTATTTCTATTGTATTAAGTCTCCTGTACACTGCTTCAATGTGACTGCATGATTAAGTAGTATACAAATTGTAGAAATATACAATAAAACATTGGTGATCCCTGATAATACCATTTGAAGAGACTGGCAAGATAATGGCATCAAATTGTGACAGCTCAGGATGTAATGGAACAAATGTCAATGAGGAGAATATTTGATCTTGCACCTAGAATTCAGGTGCTCCAATCACCATGCAAATATTTGCTTATCACCTAAATGTGCAGTGGAGTGAGGCATGGTGCTGGCCTCCAAAGTCAGGCAAGATTTGCTCAAAAAGGCAAAGGAATAGATCTAAGTGTAGAGTGTTACTTATTTTTGGTGGTCTTAAGACTATAGAGAGGGAGGGAGAAAGAAGCAGCTTACACCACATATGATTCCTAAGCACAAATGCAAAATGTTTGTAGTTACACTGCCTTGTGCCTGCCAACTGTTACAACTGTTTGAAAATTATTTCAAACACAGTAACAGTCTCTTGTGTGTGGACAGTAATTTATGCTCTGGCAGGTCTTGGAAACTGAGCAAGGTTTCAGATCTAAGTCATTTTGTCACCTTTTTCTATAGAAACACCTAGCAGAAAAAGTATGCTTTTTGGTATGCTTTTTGGTGACCTATGTTAATACAGTTCCCCCTCATTGCATATATATCTACAATCTTATTCCAAACTTCACTGAGAAACTGTCGCCTTGTTCCATATTCATTGTCACACACTGTTGGAGATGGAGAACTCTCCCCCCCTCCTTTCTTTTTTCCCAGAGAGCTGAAGGTGCTATGATAGAAGCATCCTTGCCTGTGAAATCTCACAGTAGATTTTGCCGGTTGTTATTTTTTTTAAATCTTCTGCCATTCTTGCTTTGAAAAGTGCTCACAATGGTTTACAGTACTAAATCACACAAATACTCTTAACTGTAGACACCTAAAAAGAACTCTGCCTTTCTTGAAAGTATCCACAATGGCTCAGGGCAATAAAATGTACACATATCCAAGTGCCCCTATAGGACAGAAGTAGCAGTTATCTGCAAAAGATGCTGGTTGTGTCTTTTTAGGAGAAGTAAAGGCATTCAAATAATTTATATTGTTTCATGTGGCTCGACAAGTTTTCCTCTGAAGGCCTTCCCCGTGCAGAAATTTGTGTCTTGCTGTGTCCTGACGAGAAAACACCTTTATCGGGGGCGGGAAGGAGCTCTGGAGCCGCCCTGGGAGCAAAGATAGTTCGAGTTTGGGTTGCGGCTGATGATTTCTGCTTCGCGATCGACCGCCACTTCCTTCACCTCAGCTCTGAGAAAATAAAAGTGATCCACTTTCCTGTATGGAATGGGAATTCGCTGCTCGGCCGGGCCAAGAAAAAAGACTGCGCACCACACACCCACACACCAAGAGATCTGGCAGTCAGCAATTCTTAAGAGTCTCGATTTTCGTACTTTCCCGCGTTTTGGGGCGCACTTCACCCCGTGGGCGCCCATCAACATCCCCGCCTGCTCTCTTCGGAGACCAAAGAGAAGGCGGGAAACGGACACACCCTCGCCCTCCTCCGCTTTCCTTCTCAGAGCGCCTCCCGGCTTGCAGGCCCTAGGAAGGGAGCAGGCTGGCAGCTTGCCTTTTCCCGCCCGCTGTGCAGAACCGCCCAGGCTTCCTTTTTCTCTCCAATACAGAACTTTTCTCCCTCGTATCTCGCGGCAGCAGCCCCGGAGATCTCCCTCGTTCAAGTGTGCGTGCTGAGGTGAAAGTGTGACATTTCTCTCTGAAGAGACAGCCCGCGTCCTCCGGGGGTGCGTGCGCGCTTGTGTATCGGCGGTGTCGCCCCGGGGGGAGCCTCGCCTTGCGCCTGGGCTTGCCATTTGTGCTGACACAAACCCACTCACGCGCCCGCCCGCCACCTCCATTGCCAGCGAGGGCGCTAATGATCAGGAGGCGGCGGAGGCGGCGGGAAGCCGGTGGCAGGAGGGCGAGCGGAGAAAGTGTCGTGACTAGGCAAGCGGGGGAGGGAGGAGGGTTTGTGGTGGGTCGAAAGATACGCCCCACACCGGCACCGCCAGTCAGGAGACAGTAATGGGGGGAGAAAAATGGAGCTGGAGCAAGGTGCATAAACCAGAAAACACGCGCCGAGGGAGGACAAGCTCCGTGCAAGGGCGCTGCTGGACAGATGTAGGCAAACACATCTGGGCTTCTGCCAGTTGCCGGCGGGTGGTGAAGGAGGATGGTCAGAGCGCGCGCAGGCAGGGAGACGGCGCTCAGGGGAGAGCGGAGTGGAAAGCGTGGGGAATGCAATGGATGGGGCGCCCTGCCGAGATGGGGCGCGCAGCAGGTGGCCAGTGCCCAGTCCGCGGGCGCGCGTTGCTGAAGCGTCTTGAAAGCGTGTAGCCAGTACACGGCGCTTTTGCACGGGGCTGGAAGGGAGAGACGGGAGGCGAGAGGACAATGCGTAACAGGGAGCAGGAGAGAGAACACGGAGCTTTTAATCCCCCCAAGTAGAGGCTAGGCGCTTCCCTGCAGGGGTGCGTGAGTGCGCGCGCCTTGCAGACAGGGCAGCAGGCGGCGGCGGGAGGGGGAGCATAACCACCGGGCTGCGCCGGTGGGCACCACTGATGGGGGGGGGGTAAGGATGATGGAGGACGAGCAAAGAGGGGAGAGCGAGCGAGCGCCTACTCTTAAAGGCGGCCGCGACGTGATAATCACGCTCCCAAGTGTCCGCTGATGGCAGCGAGGCTGCAGCTGAGGCGGGCATGTATAAGGCATCTTCAGGTGACACTGGCTGCCTGAGAGCCGCGCTAAATGGACTATTAATCCGGTTCGGTATCTGTAGGAAGGCGTGGAATGAGCATATTCTAGTGGAGGGGAGAGAATAACGCCGGCTGGCCACGTTCGGGGTGTTTGGGTCCCGAGGAGAGGGCGCTGAGGGCAGCAGCGGGCGGGTGGGCAGCGGTCTGTCGGTGGGTAGTTTTCCTTCGGCGACCAGCTGTGGCCGCGGGCGCGTCAGGCTTTGCCCGCTTTACCTGGCGCGCGGAGACGCCCCCTCCCCTCCCCCGCCTCTTCACCCACCTACCCACCCACCCCTTGTGGAGCCTACAGAGCGCGGAGAAGGCGAGGCGGCTCCTCTCTTTGCCGGCACGCTTCTGCCCTCCTCCTCCTCCGACTGTCAGTCCGTCGGTCCGCGTCCCTCCCATCCCTTCCCCAACCACTCCCCCCCTTCATCTCCGCTTCCCACCCACCCAACCAGCCACCTCCCCGGGTGAATTTCAGGGCTCTCGGGCTCCTTCTGTTTGTTTGTTGATCCTTCCTTTGGGGAGGGGGCTGAGAGAGGTGGGGGAGAGAGAGGGCGGGGACTTTGGGCTTTGGAGACGGCGGCGCCTCGGCTCTTATTGCCACTGAGTTGCGCTTCTCCTCAGGCTGCGGGAAGGAGCCGCCTGACCGCTTGGCACTTCTGCTGCCTTCCTCTCCTTCCATCGCCACCAGTGGTCTGGATTGCGGCGGCGGCGGCGTCCCATCGCGTAGGGTGCCTTGGGGCTGCCAAGTGGCCAGGTCAGTAGCCCTCGAGCGAGCGCTGGGAGGAGCAGGCAGCGCGCACCTCTCGGGTCTCCTCCTGGCGAGCGGATCTCCCTTCCAGTAAGGGATCGCTGGCGAGGAAGACGCCTGCGCCCCTCCTCCTGTGACGGGCGCGCTATCCCGGGGTGAAGAGGGCAGGAGGGCGGGGAGGGAGAGGGCTGAAGCTGGCCACAAAAAGTCGCCTCCGTCCTCACCGCTGCTTTCCCTTCTTCCTCCGCGTAACAGACAGGCGCTCATCTCATCCCGGCGAACCCTTGGAGAGTTTTGCAACCACTTGGAGAAGACGGAGAGCTGCAAGGGGTGTTGCTACTTCCCCAGCTCCCTTCCCCTTCTCACTGTTGGGACTTCCTTGCTAGTTTTTCCACCGGTGCTTTTAAAATAAAAAACAAATAAAGTCTGTTTGGAAATGGCAAAGGCAGTGACGCCTGGAAAGGGAACAAGTGTGGGGCGAGCCAGAGGAAGCCGGAGCTAAATGACAGGATGCAGGAGACTTGAGGAGATACACAACAAACAGAGAAGCGTCTCTTGTACTAACGGGACTCTTGCTGCTGCCGCCCGCGCTGCTGCGCCGACTGAGCCAGCTTTCTGATCTTTTTGCACCGGCCCTACTGGAGGATTTAAGATCTAAGAGGAATTGTGCGCTGAAGAGACCGGATATCTTATTCTCTTTCTTCAATCTTTCTATACTGAGAAAGGAAGATGGATTGGGGACTCTTTCTGCACTGTGTTGCCCTCACCATTACCCTTGGCAGGGCTTTGAAGAGTGGTAAGTGACTGACACGGAATCTCTTTCAAGTGAAGCCAGGTAGCTGCAAGCAGAGGGCCCCTTACCTGAGCTCCTGATCTATAAAGCCAACTGTGAAACTAACTAATATAATGGATAAAAGGAAGCTGAACACAAAACACTGGGTATTTACCTTGAGTTTCACACAATCTTTGTTTGGCTACCCATCCTGAATGCTACCTAATGCAGGGCTTGTCTGATTCACAAGAATCAGAATAGCCAATTACTTTAATGTTCCATCCTTTGGCAATTGCACAAGATTCCACTTTAAAACCTGACAGACAGTGAATACTTAAAAGGCAGGGTTTTTATTGAGAGACAGGGGGAAAGTGAAAGTTTAGGGTCATATATTTGATTATCTTTTGTAGCTATGAGTCCCCACAGGTACCTATTTCCAAATCCTCATCCTCCTCATCCATCAAGATTATGAATTAGGGTTCACAGGGCACTTATTGTCTCAAGCTAAGCAACCTAAGGTACCGTTCATACACAACAGTTATAAGAGAAATCCTATGGCACAGATTTCACATCTGGTTTTGAGGGAGCATTTAAGAGCTGCTTCAAATTGATGGAGGCTTCCTTCATTCAGCAATGAAATGACACCCATACTAGCTCCCTAATCTATGCAGTTTTTAAGGATGTTCTGCCTGGAATGGTTGACATCTTACTTGCACACATGGGGGGGGGGGGTTATTGGGAGTTTTTCCTTCCCAGACCAATTTCTGAGCAATTATTATTAACTAATTACTAAATATTTATTTTTAATCTGACTAGGTTTTCAATCAAAGTAATTAAAAGAAGGTAACATTCGCCACTTAGAATGGTATATTCTTTTAATAAGGGACCACAATAGGAGTATTCTTTTACTGGAGGATGTAAATGGTGGAATGGTGGAAATCAGTCTTTTCTCAATATATTTTGAAGAGGTTGGCTAATTTAGCAAGAAACAAGTTCTTCCTCTGCTCCTTCATGACCAGGAGAAGGGAAGAAAAAAGTCTTTAAAGAAGTATTAGCATGACAGTCCCTGAGAATCATGCCTGAGATCCTGTTTGGCCTAATCTTTTTGAAGAGTGTAGCTAACTAGACCTAATCTTTCAACCTTGCAAAGATAACAGGATCGCACTGCATTTCTGCATCGATTTGCAGGCAGTGTTGAATTAATGGAGATGAGTAAATAAGCAGGGATGAACTGGAGGCATAAAGTGGAGTGAGATGTATAGTGTGCCTTTTTGCTATTACGAGCAATATCATTCTCTTAAGTGCTGAGCCAACCATAGGAAGATCTGAGGGGAAGGAACTATGAAGCTGTCATTAAGTCTGAGCAGTTATAGGCATAATGTAATAGCCCTGTAGAGTCACCATGACCATCCATCTCATCTGTAGCTTAGCAGACTTGTGGATGCCACATCTACCTCTGTCCAGGACTTGTGTCTGCTAAATTAATTCATTAACCTTATGTAGGTAGACTGGTCCAGAGTCATTAGAAACTGCTCCTCTTAATCAAGTGTGCGAGAGATTGCACAGAGCCAGGGAGTCTAGCAGCTCCCCACATTATCTTATTATACTATCACTTTCCCAGGAGTTGCCGATTAAAGTGCTGCTGGTAGTGAGCCCACCTAAATGTCTCCTAGAGTGACTCTTGTCAAGTGACTTGCAGCAGCGCTGGTTTATTTCACTCGTTTAACAGATGCCAGATTCTGCCATGTTGTTTGCATAGAGCTAGAGTGGACTTAATGAGGCGGGATCATTTTCCAAGTCAGCTTGCACGCGGCAAATCATGCAAGATTGTCTCTGAAACCACATGCAGGAGGCTTCCAGATAAATATCATTGGCTGTGGATTTTGAACTCATTGTTGCAACATCTTTTGTTCTCGGAAATGAGACACGCGATACAAACTGTCAAGGCAGAAATAAATAGTAGCTCATAACCAACTCTGAAATAGCAATTCGCTCAACAACAACAAAAACCCACAGCGTACATCTCATTCCCTTCTAATTTATAGCAAATGTTTCTTATAACGGCTGTAGTTTATGCATTTTTGATGTGCACTTTATCTTTCATTTCCATTTGACCTGGTTATCTATAATAAAATTCTGCACATTTGTAACTTCGTGCCGAGTACAAGGAATGCCATTTCCAGTTCACAAGAATTTTATTAGATACAGAAGTTTCATAAGTCATTACTGTGAAAATGGGCTGCCAGTGTGTCATTTGTTAATGCTTGTCTGATTATCTGATGTTAGTAGAAAATATTTCAGTAAAGTTTCAAAGTGCCAGTGCAAACCTGCACAGAACAATGGAACAAGTGGCCTTGGAGGTTAGATTACATTGCCTCTGTTTCATCTTTCAATATTTATTTGTAAAGAACCCTAGCATGGCTTTGGAGAGGAGCAACCAGATTTTGCTCAAGATACGGCTATTTGCACTTAGAGGGCTGGGGAACTTAACAGTTTTGTAATTAGAAATAAACTTCGTTTTGTTTTTCCTTGCTTTCTGTTACACTGCTCTTATCTGGTCTCCAAGCGGGGGGGAGGGGCTTCCTTAAAGGAGTCAACTGAATCATTGCTGCTTCAACAAATTCTACTTTGTTCTTTGGTAGTCTGGACTTGAAGATCACAGATAGCTTCCAATTGCTTAGATTTAGGATCTGATAAAACCAAAAGGGGGTTGTTGTAAACAGGAAGGGGTTCTGTTGTCAAATGACATAGAGCAGGCTTATTATCAGAATGCTAAGTAAAAGAATCAGATAACATTGCTCTCTGAATCACTCTCAATTAAAACCTATTACTTAATGACACTATAGTTTCCAATAATAATTAAGAATTAACCATTCATTACTTATTAATTATTAGGTGTGAAAGCTGTTATAATCACAAAGACCTCTGTCTGTATTAAGAAGTTTTGTAAAAAAACAAACAAAACACCTCCCCTGTTCTAATAACTGCAGAAAGCAGCTTTCTTTAAATCATAAACCAGAAAAAATGTTTTTTTGCAGGAAATATAGATGTTTTGTTTGATTGACCTGAACATGAAATGTGTTTTCTTAATTGCAGATAAATGTAGTGAAAATATAAGAATTGTGGAGCCTGGGTATCTCACCTCTCCTGGCTATCCAAACACTTATCATCCAAGCCAAAAATGCGAGTGGCTGATTCAAGCTCCTCAACCATACCAGAGAATTATGATCAACTTCAACCCTCACTTTGATTTGGAGGACAGAGAGTGCAAGTAAGTGAGATCGTCTGTGAAGGGAGCCATAGCACCATCTACTGGACAAAAAGCTCCACAGTTTCTTGTTGGGGGTGGGGAAGGGAGATGAAACAGCTGATGAGTGCAAAACTCTGCGCATAAAATGAATCCCTCTGAGGTTTGAATCCATACCAGATCATATGTTTGTGGTAAAGATATTAAAGCAAGTGCTTACTGCATGTCAGGCACTATATAAGATTGTTTTAGATATAATCTTGTAATCCCGCTGTGTCGTTTTTGTTGGAAACATGGATCCATTAGCAGTTATTTCCTCTGAAACTTTTCCCTAAGCCGCTCAGTGACTTGGAGGTTGTGGAACGCCTATGCAGGAACAGTAGGGGAGAAATAAGCATTCGCCTCTGCATTCATGATTGTGCCACTGCTTTAAATGTTCTGAAGTTGCTTGGAAATGTATTGATGCTTAAGGCAAAAGACGTGTGGTTATTTAGAATTTTGCAAGTTTCAGTTCACTCAGTATTGTTTGATGGGAGAGGCTGTACATTCATGGGGCATTATAATGTATTTTAAGAGCCCGGCAACTATACATGCTTTGTTTTGCTGTGCTAGTGCCATAATTGGGGATAGCACGTGTGTGGCATTGAGGGGAAATCATCAGTTTTCTTAACTAATATTAACAGAAGTTGTTTTTCATTTTGAGATGGTGAGGCAGTGTGAAGAAAACGTATGGATGTTAGATTGCTAGGTATTGTGTAGAATAGAAATGAGGAACCTGTGGCCCTCCAGATATTGCTAAGACACTTCAACCCACTCCAACCCCTTAGTGTGGTTGATAATCAGGCATGATGGGAACTGTAGTCCAGCAACACCCCAATCCCTGATAAAGTGCTTTACCATGATTAATTCTGATTATAATGGTGCAGGCTTTTCACAGAACTCCGTTTTCATAAGCATAAAAGTGGCTGCACATTAAGTTCATGCCTTTGTGTCAAAATATATTGTGAGATGGACCGCTTACTGTTGTCTGATGGTGAGTGTTGACTGCGACCTGGCATGAATGCAGTCTGAGCTGAGGACGATCTTATGGCCCTGCATGATCACTGTGGGACAACACTCCTTCCTCTGTTTGCACAGGTTGCTGGGGGCCTGCATTTTAACGGACCTATCACAGGCAAGCAAGGGCATGTGTTTTGTGTGGTGGAGCTGAATGAAGACTTCAGTCCCTAGTCTTCACTCAGCTCTGCTCACTGGATGTATAAAGAAGCCTCACCCAGGCTCATCAGTCAGCTCAGTCGGAGCTGGATTCTCCACCCTCTCACCCTATGTAGCACATGGTCCTGCCTGAAGGTGAGCGGGCAGGTTCAGGTCCTGCATAAGACCTTGCTATGGA